ACATGGGGTCCCTAAAGTAGTCCGGTTCAGGGAGACAGAAAGCAGAGTGCTGGGCGCCAGGGGCTGGTGGGGGGGAAGGCAAGTTAAGTAGTGGGGACGGGGTCTCAGTTTGGGAAGACGAAGGAGTTGTGGAGGCGGATGGTGGTGGTGATGGTTGTAGAGAGCCTGATGGTACTTAATGCTTTGAATTGTACACTTAACTGGTTAAAATGGTTGAGTTTTTAAGTTATGTGTATTTTACCAGAATTTAAAAAAATAAAGGAAAAAATCCTGGGAAACATATTGCACATACAAAAGAGCGTGCATATGTACAGTTTAAAGAATCATTTAAAAAGTACCCACAGTCCTAGCGCCCAGCTTAGGTAATGTTGCCCGTACCCCCCCGACTCCTCCCCCAACAGAGGTGACCCACCCCCACCCTGAACGTGTGCTCAGCATTTGTTTGCCTGTTACCACGCACGTGCACACGGCTGTATGGCTGTGCCTGGAGCCACACCGTGTGCATCCCTGTGACTCTGGGGGTCACCCAGCTGCATACACACAGCTCAGCTCTGTGGTGTAACCGCGCTGCCCCCCCCCACCCCGCCGCCCCGCACCACCATGTTGGACCCCATGCCAGAGGCACTGTGACTTTGGAACTGAGGTGCACCTGGGCTGAGTTTTGACTTAGATGGAGAGCAGGTGGCGAAGGGTATGGATGGCTGGGCTCCCACTTCTGCCCGCAGCGCCCCCTACCTTCTGAATCTTGTTGGACGAGTTCCCCTACCTCTCTGTGCCCTGGTTTTCCCATCAGGTGATGGAAAGCACTATCTATATAAGATGCCCCAAAACAGCACCTGGGACGCGCTCAGGAAGGCAGCTGGCTGAGAAGCCGCGGTGGGGTCCTTGTTGGGTGGGCCCTGCTGATGGTCCTTTCTCTGGCAAAAATGCTCGGTGTGTAAGTTTATCGTTCCATTTGTGGGAAAATTAAACACATTTAAGAGTAAATCAAATTAGGGGATTTGTGATCGTTAGCTGTGTAAATGCTTTTTGAGAAATGTACCAAGCAAGATCTAGCACATGGTGGCATGCTCACTAAATATTTGTTAGAACGGAGGATAATTTGATGAGCCAATCAAGTCATATATAATGGGATTATTTGGTTCTAAAACTAATGAGGTGACTGAGAGCAGGAACAGCTGCTAAAAATAATCCCGTGCTTGTAGAAAACCCAAAGACGAGAGAAGAGGCTCTTGCTGGATCGCAGCCAGGAGTCAGGCCTGGAGAGCTGGTGGGCTGTGTCCCGGGAGCCGTCCAAGGGCCCGTTTGGGACCCTGGTTTCAAAGCCTGCATTTATCAGCAGTCTGAGCAGACCTGTCTCAGGGGTGCGTCTGCCTCAGACAAGCTCGGGCAACTTTCCAGTGGATAGAAACTGGAGGCTACCACTTTGTAGCTTATAGAGTGAAGTGCGCTGGGATCCTGAGTCTCCATCCTCAGCACCTGGCCCCCGGGGCGTGGCGGATGGGGGAATGAGTCCTTCGTTGCCTTTTCCTGGTTTCTGGTGGTCCTCGGCTTATGGACACATCACTCCAACCTCTGCCTCTGTCACCGTATGGTCACCTTCCCTCCTCTGTGTCTCATTTCCGAATTTCCCTCTCCCTATAAGCACACCAGTTGGGCCCACCCTAACCCTCTATGACCTCCTCTTAACTTGATAACACCTGCAAAGGCCCTCTCTCCAAGTAAGGTCCCATGCACAGGTTCTGGGTGGATGTGAGTTCTGGGGTTCACAGTACCCTGCACTTAGTAAGTGCCTAAAACCCGTCAGTGATTATTACTCTTAGGATTATTCTCACAGATGAGCGAGTGATAGGGATAAATCGTAAACACATAGTTAATCGTATTTTATCTTGGTGCTATATACTCCGGTTCATCGTGAAGTCTGTTCTTGGTTTTGAAGGGAGAAGGAGGATTGGTCTTTCTCTTTTCACTTGAAAAAGACTGTGGAGCATGCGTCTGCCCAGTGCCCATGGCTTCCAGATGGATAAGCCCTTTTAGGTTAACGTCTGCTTTATAATTTCATTCTGTACAGTTTTTTGAGGCATAAGAGAAACAGCAGTTTTTCCTGATAGTCGCTCCTTTAACATGAACACTGCTCATGGCCAGTCTTGGGGAGTTGAATGGGCTGGTACAGTGTCCCTTTCTTGTTCCTAAGGGAGAAGGGCGGCCACTCAATGTGGGTGTTGGGTGTCAATTCGGAATCTCATGTGCTGGGTGTCGATGATATTGGCCGAAAAAAGGAAGTCCTAGAGCTCCGCCTTTAATAGTCTTCCTTGGCTTGTTTGACAGGTACAGAGGTGTGTCACTAAACAGGTACAAGACTCCTGTCATTTGATTTTAAATAGCACTTGTCATTCTCCTGGTGGTGTATTTGCCTAGCATAATGGAGGGAGGGATGCGACCGTCTGACCGTCCCAGGTGGTGTTTCCCCCCCTCCCCCGCCCTTGTCATCGGAGGAAACGTTTTTGCTTATGTTCTGAGAAGGTGGGAAGGATTCAGAAACGAAGGGTGGCTTCTTGCAGGAGAATTTCGTGGCTGATCGTCACCGGGCATCTTCTGCTCTAGTATCGGGGGTGGGGGTGGGGCGTGGTGAGGAATCGCTTTCAAGAGGAAACTTCCAGACAGTTGAGCGGGAGAAACTGAAGCTGAGCTGGAAGTGAGAGAAATCGGCGGTGAGAAAGGTGGTTGAAGCTGGGTGCTTCGGGGCCCGCATCCCCATGTTTCAGGTGTGGGTGTGAGGACACCATTCTTCACGCGAGTCCTGCCCGCTGGGACGGAACCGGCTCGGTGTCATCTGGTGACATCGGGGCCCAGACAGAAGTCGGGATGCTGCTGGCTCCCTGGAGCAAGGGCCCCGAAGACCGAGTCTGGTGTTCCTCGGGAAGAGAAGTGGTGGAGGAGAGGGAGGTGCTGGGCTCCGTTCCTTCCTTCTGGAACGCTGTGGGTTCCCATTAGACATGGTTCTCCTGTTCTCCCCGCCCCTAGCCCCCACCAGTCTGTTCTCTGCATCTATGAGTGTGGGTTTTTTTTAAATCTACCTATATCCATATATACGACTCCTCCGGAGGAGACCCTGGGGCTCCCGATTCTCTTGTAGTTTTTCAAGCGGACAGTTGGTTTCCTTTTAAAAGCTACGCGGCGTCTTTCGTGACTGACCCTCTGTGATTTCTGTCCCCGGGGCATCTGCTCGGCTGACTTGGTGACGTCGAGGTGCTGAGAAGACCCCCCCCACTCCCAGCGCAGACTCTGTGTCCCGGCCGAAGGCCCCTCTCCCTGGAGCGCCGGTGGTCTTCCACGGGGAGGTAGCCGCTCCGTTCGTGGGCTGGCGAGGGTCTTCCTGCCTCCACTCTGCTCAACCCGGAGGGGCATCCCCCTGGGCACCAGTGCCCTCTGCTGTCCTGGTGGCGGGCTCTGTGTTAATTTAGGTTTGCTAGGCTTGTCATAACAAAGTACCATGGACCGTGTGGCTGAAGCAACAGGAATTTCTGTGCTCGCAGTTCTGGAAGTCCACGGTCAAGGTGCCGGTGGGCTTGGTTTCTCTCCCTGGCTTGCTGATGGTGTCTTCCCTCTGCACGTGCCCGGCTTCTGTCTCTGTGCATTCACATTTGCTCTTCTAAGGACACCAGTCAGGTTGGATCAGGGTCCACCCCTATGACCCCACTCCTCTTTAAAGGCTCTGTCTCCAAATCCCGTCACATTCTGAGGTCCTGGGGGTGAAGACTCTGACATTTGAGTTCTGCACGACCCCAGGTTTGCATCCTGTCTAGTGGGGCTGGACCGTGGGGTTGGGCAGGGGTGCCTGGGAGGGTGGGATCCCGATGCCCACGACTGCTCGTGGCCCCAGAGCACCTTTCTGGAACCCCGCCCACAGGAGGGCCAGCTCTGGGCACTGGTGTCTCTGTTGGGCTTGTGCACTCCCGCCTAAGCAGACCTGGGGACTGGCTGATCCATCGAGCAACACCTGGGTAAGGTCCCCAGAACTCACATCCACCCAGAACCTGTGCATGGGACCTTCTCACCTGAGAAGAATGTGTCTCCCTAGGAGTTGGGGATTGCTAGGAATTATCACAAATAAGAGCTCCTCGTGCGTCCCGGTGGCGGGTCCCACAGGAGCCCGCTTATCCCTGTGACAACCCCAGGAGCTCCGTTATGGTTGGCAACCCCGTTTTATACATGTGGAAACTCAGACATGGCTTGTCCAGGTCACCCAGCTGGTGGGTGGCTGGGCCCGGCTTTTGAAACCTGCTGCTGGTGTGTCCTGTGGCCAAAGCGGGGAACAGATCTAGTCCTGCTCCCCGCTCCCCCCCACCCCCGCCCCCGTTCCAGGATCTTCCTGGGCCCCTCCACCCTGGGAAGTGAGCACCACCAAAAGCAAATCTGCCAGCCGCCACTGTTTGGGTGGCCTGGGCTCTGGCTTAGGCTTTCTGTTTCTGGTGTCTGATTTCTGTTGTCGTGGAAACGGGGTGACAAGTGTTCCTCGTTAGTGCGGGGGTGCTCCTGACGGAGTTGGCAACCGGAAGGCAGCCTGGGGCGCCGCGGGCCTGGCCTGGCACCCTGCCCCGGAGCCCGGCTCCAGCCCCAGGCCCAGAACGAAGGCTTATCAGAGGCCAGCGTCTGCTGGGCCGTCCCCCCCTGTCCCCGCCCCGCCCCCAGCCACATAATCGCGACTCTCGGGTCCCACTGCAGGAATGGATACTCCCTTCCTTTCTTCCCTGTGCACTCTGGGTTGGTTTTCCTGGAGCAGTTTGCTTGGCCCAAGAGGCCGTTGGCAGCGAGGACAGAAATAGTGTTTTGTGGTTAGCAGAGTTCTATCATTTGAAAGCAGGCCCATCCTCCGGGTGGCCTGATCCCTCGTGGCCTTCCTCAGAGTGCCCTAAAGAGGCCTTTCCCGCAAACTGCAAGTCATGGGGTCCTTGCCCACGTCCATATATGAGCGTGATGTGTGTGCTCTGGGTGCCCGCCCCGTGCCCGCCGGCCTGGCGCTCATCTGCGTTTCTAACGCGCCCTCCAGCCGCACCCCGTCCCGGCCAGTGAGTGCCCCCTGTTTTCTGACCATTTTCAGCAGGACTCAAACCTGGGGCTGGCCCTAATTCCTGCTCTGCTTTATGGGGGAGGGTTGTTTAGACAAGAATGGGCCCTGGGCTGGCCGTTTGATTTACCGGGAAGGGGACGAGGACGTTGGCGTGAGGACGGTGGGGTAAGAGGGTCCTTGGGAATCTCCCCTTGGCTCCGATGGACAGGAGCCTGCTGTGTGCGCTGCGATGTGTCCGGACGTTTCTGTCGCCCGGGGTGGGCTGGGGGGGTTCATGTGGGTCTTTGGGCCTAGAAGAATGGCGTTTGGAATGTTTTCAGGGACAGATTACAGTGATGCTGCTTTTAGGGGCTACGTGACATGATGGATTTCTTTTCAATGACCCTTTGGTTCTGTCTTTCCCCTTTAACTGGCTGATCTTGGCCAGGATCTGGCTCTTGTTGTCACCACTGGATAAGCGATTCGTTCGGTCTTTTCTTGGGGAGCAGCAGACGTGGAAGGTGTTCGCGCTGAGCAGGCAGCTGTGAGCCCGGCCTGCTCGGTATCAGCTCCGATCGTGCCAGCTGGCGTAGTCCCCCCGATGCTCTGTCTTCCCACCTGGGAAGGAGATAGCGGGACAGGTGATGCGCCTCGTGCGATCCTCATAAAACTTCACAGTTGAAACCGAAGCCCAGAGAGGCTAACTAAGCGGGCCAAGGTCACACAGCAATTGGAGCTCTTCACGTCAGCTTGAAGGCCATCTCCCTGGGGCCTTCTGGGGACAGTAAGATGGTGGCTATTCGGAGGCCCCTGTGCCCCTGACACAGAGAAAGCTCCCAACAGACCCTCCTTCCCTGCCCTGTGGAGTAACAAACACATTTTCCCTGGGCTCTGCCTGGTAAAAAAAAAAAAAAAAAAGAGACACTGGGGCTTAGGTCCTCAGGTGACCAAGATCGGAGCCGTTCCCTCAAGGAGGTCACAGGCTGATTTTTTGCCTGTGTCTTAATCACTCACATTGTTTTGAGCAGGCTTTTTGCAGGGGTGTGGGGGCCTTTCTGGAGGAGGAACCAGCAGTTGAAGGAGGTGCTTATGGAGACTGGATGCAGGGAGGCTCTCTGCTCACTCTGGGGCAGCTCTTCAGAGACAGAAGGCCTTACCGCAAGGAGCAGAAAGTGGCTGAACGAGGCCGCTGTTTCTTCCCGTGCAGGGGTGGGGTGGGGAGGGGTGTGGGAATGGATGGCTGATGGAAGGGCTTGGCGGCTGGCTGAGGGGCAGACCCTGCCACCCTCCCCTCAGGCCCAGAGGGACCTTGCTCTAGGCCTTTCTAACTGAGGCGCTGGGTAGCTGCGTGCACTGCCCATCCCCTGGGAGAGTCATGAGGTGCAGGAGCACAGTCAAGGCTCTGAGAAGTTCTGCAGAAAAAGTCCTCTGTTTAGCTCTGCTTCACCCACTGCTTCCTCTGCTCCCTTGACCCCAGGCTGAATCCCTACCAGACCTGGGAACGCCCAGGTGGGTCAGTGGAGCCTGCTTGGGGACCAGAAATGATGGGGACAAACAAACGCACATCTTGCTCATCCGTGCCCTGCTGTTTGCCAGTTCCTCAGGTTCTGCGGGATGTCCACGAGCTAGTTTAACACGTGCTTTCTGCCTGGAAAGCACAGCTGCCGATGGAGGTGGAAGTCTGTGAAACTCTTGGTTAGGAAAGGGTCCCCAGGCTCCCAAAGCTTGGGGACCGACCTGAGTGTGCCCCCTCCTCTGTGGCTCCGGGGCCACCTGCCCACACTCCCCTGCCCCCCACCCCCAGCCTGCTCTGCTTGGCACCCAGAGGCCTTTTCTGGAATAATGCTGGTCATCGGTGTGTTTGTCACCTCCTCAGGCTCGAGGTCTGCTGCGCATGAGGGCGGGGGGCGGGGCAGCTGTGACGGGGCTCACGACAATGGGCACGCATTTATTCTGGACACTCAGCTAGTGGGATGGCAGGATACGAGTCCTAGCTCCATCTCTTACTGGCCTTGGGGCCTTGGCCATTCCTTATCTTCCTCATCGGTAAAATGGGGGTAAGGGAGGGTGCCTGCCCCCTGCACTTAGGACCCCCTATCGCCATCCCCGGTGCCCAGAAGGCACCGCCGCTCCTTCGGTGTCCCTGCCTTTGTCCTTGTGTCCTGGCTCCCCTCTCCCTCCTCCTTGCCCTCTTACCTGCCTACAGGGATCCAGGACTGTAAGAACTTTCTAGGATTTCTTAAATGCCTGTGACTCCCCTTGTCTGCTATTTGGTGGGAGAGCGCTTTGTTGCTGGGGAGACTTGGTTCCAGGATGAAAGTCAGCACTTGGCGGCCTCTCCTTGGGCAGGTCGCCTGCTTGCAGAGCCTCCGTCTCCTGGTCTGCAGGGGTAGCCCCGTCCCGGCAGTGGGGAGCCTGCGTGAGCTCCTGCAGGAGCATGTGGGGTGGGCAGGCTTCCTTCCTCTGGGGCGCCAGGCCCAGTCATCTCTGTCCCCACCCCGCAGGCCGTCGCTTTCCTGCCGCCCTTGCGGAAGGAGGGGGGCGTTCAAGTTGGGGGTGGAATGGGACACCAGAAGGGAACTTGAGAATGAAGAGGTGGCAGTTTGTGGATCGGGGCTTCAGAGACACTGCTATCTGCAGGCACTCGAACTTCACAACTAGGGCAGTTCAAGGAGTCTAGAAAAGACATACGGGCATGGTGGTCGGGCTTGGTGATTTAAGTGCGAACACCCGGCTCCCTGAATGCATGGTGGGGAGCTGTGGATTGGAGTTCCGGGCCCCCGTCCTGCCCCGTGTCCTACAACCCTTGTGTGCATCCTTATTTCGGAGGAGGTGCTGTGTTGAACGTACCTGGCACAATGCTGGGAGAAGTTACCTTGCCCAAAGTCACAGCCAGATGGGTAGGCTGATGGGACCTGTCTCACCTGAGTCCTCCTCCTCCCTACCCATCCCCCTGCCTGTGCCCCGCCAATGTCCTCAGGTTGGGGCCCGCGTGGGTGAAGCCGGGGGGGGGGCGGGTATCCTTTTCTTCATCGGCGTGCTAACATGATCCTGCTACTGGGTGTATCGTGAGGCTGGCGAGGACCCTGACGTCTGGGCTGGTGCATTTACTGTGTATAGCCACTTGAACTATGACCTCGAGAAAGAATGGGTTCAAACTGGCTGGGGCTGCTGCCTGGGACCCTGGGGGCTGAGACCTGGAGCAACAGAGGTGGGACTGAGAAGATGCCTAGGGCAGGTGCTCTGGGAGGAGAGCAGACAAGAAGGTTCAGGCCCTGGGAGGCGGTGGGTCATAGCTGTGGCCAGAAAGGTCAGGGGCTTAGCACATCCCCGACTGCTCCCTGTGAGCCTGTTCAGTAGCCAGGTGCGGGAGGAGGGGGGTGCGGTGGTCCCGTCAGCTGCTGTGCTGGCCCCTCTGAGGAGCCCCTGGGGGAGGGGTCACCTGGATCTCGTGGACACGAGCCTATCCTGCTCCTTCTGCATAAAGGTAAAAGGCAATACGTGTTAGTGGATTTGCCGTCAAGAAGCCAATCTTCTCAGGCCTCATCGTCACATGCGCGTGACCTGCAATGCTCGGGGACAGTTGTGTTTTTATCCACAGTGTCAGACTCCTCCCTATGTGCTCGTTTATGTTTGTTCTGCCCGTGTGACCGAGGCCATGCCTGTTTCAATAACAGCTGTGTCATTGGGGCTCAGCCTGGGGCCTGGCGCACAGTAGGTGCTCAGTAAAACAGGTGCAAAGAATGTTCTGGGCCTTTTGCAATGGCATGGAGGAGCTTGGGGCTGTCTGAGTTTTCTGGGCGCTGTAATGAATTACCACAAGTTTAGTGGCTTAAAGCAACACAGACTTACAGTTCTTGAGGTCTGAAGTCCTAAAATCCAGGTGTTAGCAAGGTTGTGCTCCTTCTGGAGGCTCCAGGCAAGAATCCATTTTCTCGACTTCCCCGCTTCTCCAGGTGCCTGCGTTCCTTGGCGTGGGGCCCGCCCAGCATCTGCAAAGCCAAGAGTGCAGTGTCTTCGCCTCTCTCGCTGCTTCTGCTGTCTCATTGCTCACAGCGCCACCTGTGTCCTTTTTAGAAGGACCCTTGCAACTTCTTTGGGCCCCCCTGGACAACCAGGATCACTCCCCGTCTCAAGATCCCTGACTTAATCGTATGTGCAAGGTCCCTTTTGCCTTGCAGAGCTACAGGTTCCAGGGATCAGGATGGAGACATCTTTGGGGGCAGGGGGGCGTTATTTAGCGGGGCCCAGAGGCCCTGAAAGAAAACAGCTCCTACGAGTTCCAAAGAGGAACACCGGAGGGGAATGTTAGGGTCCTGAAACATTCCCTTGTTCATTCATCCACGAATTCACCATTAACGTGCTGTGTGTCATCGAGTACCTCCTCTGGGCCGGGCCCTGTGGGTCTGCCCTTCCAGACTACTGTGGACACGCATCCAGCAACAGGTGCATGCCTGTGCCTCAAATGTGACCGTGCTTGAAAGGAAAGCAGTGGGACGGGGCCCAATGGGATTGTGTGGGGTGCGATGGGGAACCTCGCTTCGTCTGGCTGGCTGCAAGGGAGTCTCCACTGGCCTCTGGCTCCTAGCTACTCCTTTGGGGCTTTCCCTCCAAAGGCTGGTCTCCAGGAACCCCGGCGGGTTGTGAAGATCCCTCTCCTCTGTTGCCCGGAGTGTTGGATCCATTTGAGCGACGGTGGGGTTGTGCTTGCCCAGATGGGCCACCCGAAATGCCGCTTTGGCCCCCAGAGTGTCTCAGGTGAGGACGCAGCTGCTAGCACCAGGACTGCCCCCGTTGGAAGGTGCCCATCTGCCCAGCAGGCCGGATTCTTTAGTTCGGATAGAACCTTTGCAGGTTGGGTCTGGTCTTGCTTCTGCTGGTGGAGATAGGCCAGTAGAGGGCACTATGCTGCCGCCGTTCCCTCAGCCCCTTCTCTGGTCCCCCTCCCTCCCTCCCAGGTCTCTGGTGGCAGGTGCACATAGAATCGTTTTTTGGGTTTTTTTTTTAACGACTTAATGA